ATAAATATTATTCAAACTATTTAACAATAGAATAAGAATATACATGTATGTATTGCCATGATTACAAATGGTAAAATATGATAAAGGTTAAAGTAATTAACTTAAAAGTTACGATTTAAGTGCAAAAAGATCAAGTTAATTGTCCCGCTGCTAAGTAAGATGCACACTGAACCTTAATTTCCTTTGCAATTTTGGGTCATGCTATATGAGCAGTTACCTAAAATATACTTCTTAAAAAAATTCTTGATATAACTAATGTCAGGAGTGACATACCTTAAGCACTGGGTTCTTCTGTCAGTGAAACGTACAGGTCAATAATAAAACATTTTACGAACGTAAAGGAACGTACTTTATACGATTGTTTATGAAGACATAAATATAAACAATAAAATGCCTTTCTTTGGTTTATAATACAATATTGAAAGGTTGTTATGTTTTTTGCAATAGTTGCATCCGTAAATGCCTATATTAATAAGCAAAGAAAACATTTATTTCTATTTTTAAATATACAAACAAAGAAAGGATTTCATTGCTTAATAAATGGGAAAGCCCCCATCCCTACGGCAGTAAAATTTCCATTCTCTTTTGTTAAAGTGGGTAATATTTTGTAACGTAAATAGTCTCGATCGTAATTTTTACTTTTCTGGATCCGAAAAGAGATACTTTATGAATATTCATAACTTTTAGTGTTGTCTTTGAGAAGTACATGATGTTTCAATGTTAAATAACAATTCCTCTGCCACTGGTTGCTAGCTTGCTTGTTTACAAAATTTGTTTTTTTTTTCTTATAAACTTTGATGAAATGAAAACCTAGAAGTGTGTGTTATTGATCTTTATATGACCTCCGAATTAGGTCAAATGTGGAATAATGTAATAATACAAGTTTTAGGCCACTTTTTATACCCCGCGCTTGAAAAGCGGGTAGGGGGATAATGATGAGGGTTTCCGTTCGTCTGTCTGTCTGTACGTTTGTCCCTCCGTCCGTTACCTTTGGATACCCATCACTTATCCACAAGTCCTCTTACACCACTGAGTAAAATTTAATGAGACTTTCACAGAATCCTTATTGCACAGTATCATTGTGCACATCTTATTTTACTCTTTGATTGGACTCATATTTTAGGTTCCCCATAGCAAAATATGGGCACTGCCATTCTTTCTATGATATCAGAGGTACTCATTTCTTATCCAAAACTCCTCCTTTACAACTGAATAAAATTTAATGATATTTTGACAGATTCTTAATTACATGGTGCCATAGAGCACCTCCTACCTTATGTTTTGATCGGATAGATGTTTGGGCTTTCATATAGCAAAAAATGAATTTTTCCAATATAAACATATGATCATGAGAGCGGGGAGATATCATTTGTGAGCTCAGTGCTTACAGTATCTCTAGTTTATACTGATTTGTATATGGAATACTACGTATACTCGATCAAGACAAAGGGCTCACGTCAGGTGTGACGGGTTGTAATCTTCCATGGCACCTGATATTTCCAAGATTCCGTGTTTAATTTGCTCTTGCCTTTATTTTTGTCCTCTACGTGTGGTTTAACTGCACATGTGTATAATAATAAATTTATTATATGATTAAATAATTCCTGGCTCTCTGATTGGCTGAGATCTTACATTGTAGAAAAAATACCATGTTATGTGCACCTTCACGTGACCTTACAGATAAACATAAGGATTTATTTTTTCTACATTGGACTAAAAATAGATTGAGAACTTCCAAAAAACTCTGAACCTTATAGTAATGTAATGCTAAATGCTGTTTTACAATTGTTGGTTGTTTTTTAACGATATCGAGAAATAGTAAACATTATACAGTATATAAACCTAACGTTATAAACCGATTTATTAAATATAACTTCATTCTTTATTATTATCATATTTCTTCAAAAATCCCTATTAGAATATTGCCTAAACTTAAGCATTTCAACTTAAATTGATCTGCCCAACAATAGATTTAAAATTTCATTCTTTTTCACATTTTTCATAACATTCAATACATGTGTATATTCTTTTTTTAAACAAAGTATTTCTGAATTTTAATCTCTAGGGTTTAATAACAAGTATCAATAGCAGTTACGTATGAGGGCTGTTCTGAAATTATTGAGACATTTCGTGCAACAATATATATTTCATGCAACTCAATATGATTCAAGGTTCCTTGAAGTCTAAAAAACTGTATTGGAAAAAGTTGACGTTTATACCGCCATAAAAGTATAGAAATAAATACACCGTTAGATGAATTAAATTTCCTTCAACTTGCCTTAGTTACCAAAGCTTGTTAACCATGATATAAAATTAGAAGTGTTTTTTTTTTTATGTTTTCCGATGATAGCACATGCTTTTTACACTATGTGTTATATAATAATTTAGGAAAATAAAAAGATTTAAAATACCATAAAAGTATTAAAAACGTGCAATATGCCCCCAAATGCCTGGATACCTATATTTTTTAATTCTGAAATATATTCGTTGATTAATTGTACAATTAAAAATTGCTTAGTTGGTGCTTTTATTTGCATTTCCTGAAAATATATTTGAGATATGATATATTACCCTTTATAACATGATTTTTTATAATGATAAACTGATGAAATATCAGGGGTAAATACACATTTCTTTTTGAAATCAGATCACATTTTGTGAGCATTTACAATTACTTAACTGCTGATTTTGACTGAAAGAAAACAAACATCATGCGGATAATATACTATCAAATCTTCGTTTGATCACATGTTTTAATCTTATTCTGTTGGTTTAATTTCACTGGCTTTGTCTTGTTCTAACAATATAATTATTATTGTTAAAAGTAGTGCGTGCTGAATCGAAATAAAGGCAAAGATGTTTTAAAAGGGTTTTTTTTTCTAGTTTATTGATTTGTTAAGTAAATTATTTAGACTTTTAATTTGGTTTTCCCTGTTATCATTCACACTCACATAATTTGTTTGTTTTATGTACAATTGCCAATGCGAATTCCTTTTAATAACATAACTCATTTATGGAACTTCTCATTCCCTAACATTTCTGTGTACAGTCACGAATCCAACTCACAGTTTTAGTAATATCGCAGCATTTCAAGAAACCGCCTTCACTCTCCACTTTAATAAACAACAAAACACTTAGGTATGTTGCATTTTGCCACTAACGTGACTTTAATTACTGAAAATAATTATAATTTAAGTAAAACATTAAATTCATTTATGACATCTTGAGTCGTTAGAATACAAAAGTGTGTGTTAAGAGGAAACATTTTTGCCGTTGTTAAGCAGAGTTTTTTTTCAGTCTACAACAAATTCTGGATCAACTTTGAGTTTTTCTCTTATTGCTTTACCCAGTCTTTAAAAACTTCAAACAAACCATCATGCTTTTTATTCTTTTAGATTTGCAGGAGTAAACATTTAAACACATTTCAGGCGTGCTTTTTCAAACTTAAGATAAAGATAAGAGGGATATTCAAGGCATTCTTCATGCAAATTTTTCTTCCCATTGTACTGAATGTCTTAAATGTAAAATTAAACCATGTTGTTTTCGTGACCGTTTTCATGTCTGACACCTAACATTGTGAAGAAAAACATTTTTCAAACAACACACTCCATGAAAAGGTAAATCGAAAAATAGTCAGAATATTCGTCAATCTTTCACCATTTTTATTTTCAATGTATATTAATGATCTTGAAGATTATTTACCGAACAAGAATATTGCAGGATTACAAAATATTTCAAGAACCAATGAGAACGAATTACTGATGCATTTTAAATTGTTGATTCTTTTTTATGCGGATGACACTGTTATTATGGCTGAATCAGTCGATGAATTATAACATGCAATTAACAAATTTTACACATATTGTTTACAATGGAGGTTGAAAGTGATTGTCGAAAAAACAAAGATCATAATATTCAAAGGGTCCTATTTTAAAACGAAAACTTTATTACGACAACTTAGTTATTGAAACTTTCAGAGAATCTAACTATTTAGGCGCTTTTTTTCACGCACAGGTTTCTTCTGTAAAACAAAAAAAACACATATGAACAAGCACAAAACGTGTACAAAAATGTGCGAAATTATAAGAGAAATTAGACAATTAAAATAACCAGTTCACTGCCAATTTGATCTTTTTGATAGACGCAGCTCTGTTAAGGCTGCATAAAGGGGGCGGAGCCTAATTAATACGGGAAAAGTTTACTGTGACATCACACAAATATAGCAATTCCTCACAACAAAAGAAAATGAAATAATTTGCGAATCTAAACTGCATAAAAGTAATCGAGAGAATTTATTGAATTAATTCTACCGTGTTTTTGTTTACAGGGTGTGCATGTTTCACACCGAGGTGCCTCCCTGTACGAAAATTTACGCCCTGACCTTAGGCGGAAATCAAAAGACGGAATCCGCCTTTATCTATAAAGAACTTAGTAAGACTATTAGACGGAGTCCGGGTGGAATCAGGGCGGAATAGGGCTCGAAATATTTAAATGAGTTAAGGCGTATTCCGCCTTTCCTAATATGGATTACTTTCAAGGCATATTCCGCCTTACCTGCAAGGCGTATTCCGCATTAATGGCAAGGCGTATTCCGCCTTACTTAGGTTAGGCGTATTCCGCCTTACTAGCAAGGCGTATTCCGCCTTAATGGTTAGAGGGATTTTGCATTAATGGTTACATAATCTGCCTATCACAGTGTATCAGCTATTGTTGTTTCAGACTTTTACAAACTTAACAATTAAAAAAACGAAATTATACAAATTATAAATCATTTATTTACAAGTTCTTTAAAATTCACTGACTAAAAAAATTTTACATTTAAAAATGTTATGCCTTGCCTTAAATTCACATGAAATAAAAAAATAAAAAATATTGTACCAAAACTTGATTTTTCTTCATACATCTACATAATAATGTGAATGTCACAGTTGAATTAACAAATAAAAAAAGAAAGACAAAACCATTGTTTTAAAGTCAGTTCAACAAAACAATTTGCTGTTAATTTACCACTGGTTGATTATTTTCACAAAATTCTTTCTGTCTGCAAGGAAAGAGTGTGTCATTTTTATTGTTCTTCTTCCTAAGTTATCTGGAATAACTTATCTTTTCCATGATTCAGGCTTTCCTTTGCCATTCTTCACACACGGTCACCACATGTTGAAGTCTATAAAGAAAATACAAACTGAGATGAATTTCTCATTTCAAAACAACTCTTCAACATTTTTCAATAAAATGACTCTTTTATGACATTCTATTCTGTATTACAGATCAGGATGCAAACAGTCTTGTCTAATTTCTCTCAACACTAAAATTTAAAAAATATAAGAATAATTTTTCATATATTTATCAGACGTCTCATGTCTTCATGTATTCTTACCTCTCATAACCTCCAATACAGTTGAATGAAGCACAGGTATTAGATTGCATTCCTTTTTCCCATGAATCTTCGGCAAGCTCTCAAATGAGAAGTCTCAGCAGCATTGCCAGTTTACTGCTAAGGGTGGATGGACAGTGACTTCTGGCCTTCATCCTGACTTGCCGCAGTTGCCACAGTCCTCATTTTACCTTTATCGGCCAAAATTGCTGAGGACTTGAAAAGCTCAAAGTGCTGAAATGTATAACACTGCACTGCAGAAAATCCTAACATCTACAGTTTTAAAATTGACTTAAATAGGTTTTTAATCTCTTGTTCAATTACTACTCATAATCTTCATATATTTGTAAAAGGTAATAACGTAAGACGCCATTCTACAAACACTTTTAATTTACATGTATATTCAATAGCTGCTCATGAAATATGTAGATCTAACTTAAACAGTTAAATGAATATATTCATATCCATGTATGTTTTGAAATGTACATTATGATGGATAATAACACAGAAAAAAAATTGCAGCTGCTTATTGAATAATTAGGAAAACTATCGTGTAGATGCATCAACTTAGGAGGAATGGTACACTTCAATATAGATGAAAAAATAAATTTAAAAAAAATTGTTCAAATTTCACCCCAAAAATGTATTTTAAGAATTTCATCAAGGTAAAAAAAAAAGAATTCCATGTACATGATGTATATATTAATATTTTAAATGATGACTTACATCTCACAACCTGACTCCTAATCCCAACTGAGCAGCGAACTACACTTTTAGAAGGGTGTCTGTGTCACCATTCCACTAACCACTGGTTAAACCAGTGCTAACACACATCATAACAAATTTTTCAATCGTTATTTTAAAACTGGAAGTAACTAAAGGTCGCTAATTTTAAAAGGAAATCGTATTTCCGGAAAACACATACGCAAAGTGAAAAAATAAAATTACAAAAGTACATGTTGATTAATAATTGACAAATGAATTACATGTAGTAATTTTTTTTTATCCTTTATCTTTGTACTTTTTTTTTACTATTTTAATCTAAAAGGATATACTCATAACATTGAAAATAAGGGGGTTGGGTAGGGTTGGGGGTTGAGGCTACCCTATATTAGGCAAAAAGAAATGGCGCCTGAAATTTTATGCGCAAACTTTTTTTATAACATCTGGGTTAGTGTAGAGTATAATGTGAATATAGGGCCCCAATGCTATTCCAGTTGGAATTAATTATCGGAGTAATGGTGGAGAGTGGTGTGTACATATTTTGGCTGTACGAATTCAAAAAAAGAGAGAAAAGAAAAAACACCGCTAAAAATTTTAACTTACCATTGTTTTTCACAGTTACATGTATTCCTGTATAGTGTTTAGAGGTCCTTCTTTGTCCATTCAGCATGTTCACCGAGCATAATTTGCTTCACTTCAAAGCTTAGTAGAATAACACCAAAAGTTGAATTTTATCACTCTTTTTTTCCAAAAACACATAACAAATTGAGTTCCTTTTTAAACTGAATAAGATATAAAGATTCATCAACCAAATTGACCAACAGTCATCACTTTCAAAATCTGCATTCAAACTGACCAATGCATCCAAAGAGAGGCTCTGTCTGAAAACTTCCGCCCCCTGTAGAGGGTGGTCAAGCAGGAGCGCATTAGAAACGTATATCTGACATACAATATGGCTGCAAAAAAATTACTCCTCTAGGAAACGCAATCTTCAATGTAATAAAAAGCCTAATATTCAAAGTCTAAGAACTGGATAAAAAGCCATGTTTGACTATTGTTTTTCGAATATCTCCCCCATTAGTGCCTTTAGAAAACAAGGTCATCTAGAGGAATGAAACATGTGGTCATAATTTAAACTGTTCATAATTTTAAGATTAATGCAGAATCCGTCTAAGAGCTAAGCCGGAAAACGTCTAACAAAATTACGCCTCAGATTTAAGGTGGAATCCACCTAAGATATGAGGCGGAAAACGGTTAAAGCTAAGACGTTTTCCATGTCCGCCTTTAGTACGGCTTAGTCCACCTAGCACTTAACCGGAATCCGTCTCAGTCCGCCCGGACTCCAGGCGGAAAACGGTTAAGAGTTTCGTACGGGTCATTAAATCGCCTTTTCGCAAGGGCATACACTTAATAGATCTTGACCATTTTTTGAATACACATAATGGACATATTCCTTAACTTGAAAAGTGCTGCCGCTTTCCTGAAATCGATAGCATAACTTAATAAATACATAAAATACTTGGTAAAGGTTACAGATATTTCGACATTAGCAAGATAACTTGAAATTTAAACTATTAAAATGCGAATTCTATTTAAAGCAGCAGCATTTTTCATAAACTACAAGTTATGTAGAAACAATCTATTACTTAAATTTTTAATTTTAACTAGGGTATGCCCTTGCGATATTGAAATTTGTTTGTGACCTACATACAGTACACATTACATGCATAAATTTATCACGTGACTATCAAATAACATGACCAAACCAAATTCAGTACAGAGCTAGGTATACAATGTTATTTCAAAGAATGTTAAAGTCATAAGATAATATAGTACCTTTACAAAATTAAAATTCATTTTAAAAAGGTATGTATCTATGCACGTTTATATTCTGTTGATTTCCTCGAAGTACGCCTTAACAGTGCTGCGGAGTTGTAGTACCGGTCTTACTATATGGCTCTAAAATATAGGGCTATGAAAATCTTGATATTATTAAGCGTTTGCAGTTCAAGTTTTTAAAATTTGTATTTAATTTGAAAAGTTCCACGCCATTATCGCACATGGTCTATGGTGAAACACGTCGCTTTCCTCTGTATATCTCGGTATATTGTAGAATGATTTCATATTGGGCAAAGCTTTTTTCAGGCCCGCCAAATAAAATCATAAATGTTTTATATAAACATATGTTTAAACTGTACTGTGATTGAAACTTAACAAACCAATGGTTATAGTGCATGGAGAAAATATGTAATATGTGTGGTTTATCAAATGTATGGTACGAACAGAGTGTCATTATGAATTATAAATGGATAACTGCTACTGTAAAACAAACATTACAAGATCAATTTATTCAAAAGTGGTCTAGTGACGTAAATGATTCTTCAAAAGGACAGATTTACAGAATTTTAAAACAAAACTTTGGATCTGAACAATTTATTGATAAGTAATATCCTAAATTTAGAAAAAAATATTTATAAAATTTCGTACTGCAAATCATCATTTACCAGTAGAGACTGGAAGAGGGCATGGTATACCACTGTGGGATAGAATCTGTACACTTTGTAATAATACTCAAACTGCTGATAAATTTCATTATATCTTAGAATGTAAAACTTAAGCTAATTAATGTAATTAAAATATTACCTAGCTATTATTATTCCCACAGACCGAACGTTATTAATGGAATGTTATTCATGGAACTAATGTCAACTAAAAACGAGAAAATGCTGAAAAAATATGCATATGTTTATTCTAAAAAAAAAAATCATGATGCTGTCTGTCCCCTTTGATATATTTTCCCCTTATTTATTTATTTTCTTTTTCAATCGTCTGTCATGTTTTTTTTTTTCTTTTTTTTGTTGTGTATATGTACCTCTGACCAGTTTGTATATAATGTATATATATGTTATTAATGTAACAATATTTTGGTTTGGATGAATAAACTGAACTTGAACTTGAAATTCTTGTACAAAATACAATGGGGTGTCTGTGAAGATGTTCTGGCTTGAAATTTACAAGCTGAAGTTTCACTACGATCACCTATAATTTTGTGTTATTACAATAATTCACTGTTTTACCGATATATTTATGGACTAATCTTTCTCTATGGAACCACTAATGCCGATTTCGAGAAAAGTAATAAAGCTATTGTCAGTGTTTAAGTGAATTTCATAACCTTTACCTGTACATAGAATTTGAGTCACCAGTTGAGAAAAAAGTCCAGGAAATGCTTTTATGCAGGTTTCCACAACATTTCAACAATAACACTGTTTAACAATCATAAAATATGTGATGTATTCCTTGAAGAATAATTTCATCTCAACTGATCGTAAATTGAACCTATTTACATCCCAATGCAATAGATGAACAATGCTCAAACTTTTGTTTCAAGCTTACTGCATTAATTTTTTTTCATTTCATTGATGGCACATAAATCGATATTCGAAAAACTTTCTTTATCAACCAAAAAAGGCAATCGTTCTTTATTAATGTTAATGCTTTATGAATACGACGTTCTGCGTAGACGTGAAATATACCATGTATGTAATTGTTTTGTTCTTTTATGGAATACTGCAAATTGACTACAGTTTCAATTGTTCAACAATTTTCATTATCTCTGCTTTTTTCTGTCCGTGTTACCATTACGATGAAATATTTCTAAAAGTTTTCCTCAACTCAGAATGCACTTTCAGTTAAAGATTGGAGTGTCCCTGATGAGCATAGAAATTCCGAATTGTCCATCAGCTGGGTAGCATGACCAAAGTGCTTTCCGAATTAAAAGAGCATCATTGTTGATGATAAATATTCTGCAAATCATATAACATGGGCATACGATGCAGATCTAATAAAAAACAATAGATGTAGCTAAGAATTACTTTGAAAGAAAAGCATTAATAACATACAACTGATTTTCCTTCCCATGAAGGGTATTTCGTAAAGTTAAATTCTAGGTTAGGGTTTATTCTGCTTTTTGATAAGTGGATATACATATATCTAATTTATAAATTAAATTAATTTTCTTAAGAAAAAAATCATCTGTTTGTGCAAATTAAAAATACTTCATGAAATAATATTTACTTCAACTGAATATTTTCAGTCGGAAGAGCGCTCGCTGCATGATAGGAAGGTCAAGTGTTCGAATCACGGCCTTAAGTCTATATAAAATAGGTAGCAAATGTTCCTTTGCCAAGCGCTCGGGACTTTGAAGTGAAAGTTGCGGGTCCATCGGATGAGACCTTAAAAACCGAGGCCCCGTGTCAAGGCAGGCGTTGGCACAATAAAGATCCCTCACTGCTCAATGGCCCTGAATGCCGAGAAAAAGGTCTAATTAGCCTTTCACCGATATATAGTGACGTCTCTTTATGAGTGGAAAATTCTCGAACGGGACGTAAAACAGCATACAATCACTCAATCAACTGAATATTTTCTCCTTTATTTCTCGAAATTTTGCCGATATATATATATATATATATATATATATATATATATATATATATATATATATATATATATATATATATATATATATATATATATATATATATATATATATATTGTGTACTTTAGAAATCATGGCTACTTTATAATTTTTTTTTTTTTTTGCTTGATTCCCTCCACAAACTAAGAATATTTGGTTGTGCTCCCCAAATTGAAATTGATTACTACGTGCCTGGTATGAAAGATATTTCTTTAGTAGTGTAAAAGGTCAACTGTTTCATGACTCTTTCATCAATGTAGCGTGTAGAGTTTTGATCTACAGAAATGAATATAAACAATAAAATGATTTCTGTTTGTTTTTATGAGGATGAATGGTTGCATTCATTCCAAAAAACGCTTCGTAATCCGTTCAAGCTGGTTGTATTATTCATTTATTGCAATCATACATTCCCATATATAACAACTAAATATTTTTTCCCCTTTTTTTTCTTATGAAAACCACTTTCCTTAAGGACAGATGATACAAACAAAAAAAAATAGATGCCTGGATTGATATATATTTTAGACCTATTTTGGTTGTAAATGTTGCATATATTAAATTTCTAATTGTAAAATTTCTATGATATGTTCAAAACTCTACCTTTCTGCAATCACGCTTATATTTTTTTTTTTGTC